GGGGGGGTGGGTGCCTGGGTGTGTGTGTGTGTGTGTGTGCATATATATATAATATAAAAAAATACACATACAGCCAAGAACTGATCTGTTGTGAGAGGATTCAGAAAAAACATAGCTTTTTTATTTTAGTTATGTGGCACAGCCTGATGGGAGAAGGGAGGAAGAAATTACAGAATTTCATTTTTCTTTCAGCCACAGAGAGGGATGCTGCAGGCACATGATACCTCTTCGTTACCCACAGTGACCATGAGAAATAAAAGTAAGAAAACTTCCTTTCCCTCTGCTTTGGTGGTGCGCTGTATCTGCTATTCTTAACTGTTCTGACAACTAATATTAGATATGATGAAAGATAAGCATTTATCAAAGCAGGGATGAGAGCATCTTCTGTGCATGATAAGCAATGTCTGGGGCTTCAGAAGTTGTACTGAAGTTGCACAGAGGTCATCCATTCCTGCAGCGTCCATGTAGCTTTAAGCAAATGTAAAGTCATGTCAGATTTAGAATATACTTTAGTGCTGTAGCTTGCTGAAGGCCTACAGCTGGTAAGTCCACAAAATCCGGAAGACGTAGCCTATGTCCATGGGTGCCTGACATTGGAAAGAATCCAACTATCAGTATTATATTAACAGAAATTGTTAAGATTAGAAGTGCAGAGGATTTTTTTTTTTTTTTTTAAATTAAATAGACTTATGCTTTGAGGTAGTAAAAACCGAAAGTTTAATTTTGAATAGGAGCAATACTGACAAACTTTTCCTGGCTGCGCTGAGATATACACTGCACTGCAGAGCTACCCAGTGTGACTGAGGGCAAAGAACAGGAGTGAAATAGCCCACATGGGTTTTGGAGTGCCATGATTTGATAAGCTTATTTAGTGATAGCTTGGAGATCACTGTATGGAACCACACTGTATGATACAGATGCATCTGCTGTGGTATTTATCATGAAATTCAGAGGTGTCACTCCAGAAAGCAGAAATGCATCTGAAGAAGGGAAAATCTGGAATTAATATGAAAAGATTAGTTAAAGGTACGTGATAGTATACTGAGATAAGGATTAGCATTTCCCTGTGGCACGTACCCATAGAGAAACCTATCTCAAAAAGTTTGACCAGAAGCAGGAAGGTGTATATAATTATAGGCCCAAGGAAATTAAAAAGCAAAATAGTAGATTGCCACATGTGATTATTTACCAAATAAAATTAAATTTAGTTTCCCAAGTGTATGTTTCTGGACTTGTAGATCCCACCCAGATCTTTTAAGCATAGTGCAATGCAGTCAGTTCTGCACAGGGCTCGATGTTCTTCCTTTGTACAGCTGTTTCTAACAGCTGAGATCTCCTGGTATCGACTCTAGAAAGAAAAGTGAATTTTAGAGCCTGGTTTCTTTACATCATCGTCATCATCTCAGTTAAGAATGCAGTTGCATGAGCTGACTTCTCTCTGACACTTGCCTTCCAGGCTCACAACCGAAGGAGCGCCCTCGCTCTGCGATACTTGCTCCTGATGAAAACACCGTAACCTCAATATTCAATAACAGGAGATCACAACAGCCGACAGCACTTTCGAAAAGTGTCTCAATACAGAACATTGCAGGGTAAGGTTTCTCCCTGCGTGCGTGAGTGTTTGTGTATTACCTGAGGCTGCAAGCATAGAGAAATTCAAATCTCATTAAAAAGAAATTTGTGTACTATGATTTGTGTTAAAGGTACAAAAGAGGATCATGAAACCAGAAACACCCATATTATATATGATACCATCAGTTGTCTTCTGCACAGTCAGATTATCTGGGTTAGTTTGGTCATGGCGTGAGTTCAGAGGCATCTGAGTTGGCCTGGTTATATTCAAGGCCACTTCATAGAGATGCTCTGGGCACCAGGAGGAATTTCCTTGCCTTGGGCCGGGTACTGTGCAAGCACACATTTGCAGCTCAGGTATAGTATTAACTTTTGCGTCCATAATGATAGGGTGGAGGCACAGAGATGCAGTCTTAATGGTGTTTTAGGACTGTGTTATACATAAAGAGAGGAAAATCTGATTTATGGTTACTACACTACCTGCTTATTGAGCAATTCTACACACAGGGCAATAGCATGGGCTGGGATGTTCTGGATACTTTTCATGCCCTGGATATTCATGGTGAAATTTATTTTAGTCCATTTTTCTGATCTTTCTCAGAGCAAGTGATACAGACTCTTGGATAGTCTTTTGTGTTGCATTTTTGCACTGCTTGCACCAAGAACAATGAGGATGGGAAGGGACTGTAAAATGGAAAGTAATGAAAAGGAGTTATCCAAACCATAAAATCTGAGGTGTGATTCTTCGTAGAAGAAGCACCATCACTCAGAACTGTAGATCTTACAGCTTGTTGAGCCCCAACGGGTAGTTGTTAGAAAAGAATTAATAGAAGTACATTTCTGCACATAACCATGCAATGCTTGCTTTGGTTTTCGATTCATATTTAAAATGCATTTCTTCTGTGTATTTGAAAGTACATTTGGCTGGTTTTTAAATGTCATAAACTATATTCTGCATTCTGTTTTTCTGCAGAGTTGGGAATGATGACAGCTTAATACACACTTGGAAATTCCTGTCACAGTCAACAGACTCCTTACATAAAATCAGCCGGGTGAATGAATCCATGGAGTCACTGGTTGATGAGGGTAAGAGATCTTCATGGCATTTATAGCAAAAGGAGGGTCTCGGTGGTGCTTTCCAGAAATAGAAAATCCATTTTGGCATTTCAGCAAGTGTTTTCCTTTCTAATGGACAATTAAAGTGCATTTACTTTAATCTTAGAATATTATTATGATAAACTAAAACAAAGCCCCACATAGTAATTTCTTTAGTGTGTTGAATTGTGGGAAAACATTTAGAAGGTTTCCGTTACAATTGAGTTACCTGGAATTTAACTCAGGGACAAACATTTCCTCTTTCATTCTGGCCCATTCATACAGCCACAGATTTTGCACTCTTGTCACCTTTTTCATGCGCATGTCTTGCATTTCGTATTTTTCCCAGAGTGCAGAAGGAAGACATGTATTATTTAGTTTTGTGAGTTTGAAAGTGAAGTCAGTTAAATTAATTTCTTAAGTTTAAATATTTTTTTATATATGGTGCTTTTTTAGGATATAATCAGTATCTTTACGTCTTAGCCAATATTTACCTGAAAAGAGCAGAATGGTCTTAATTTATTAAGGACTAAACAAGGGCATGCTCATGGTGACACAAGAAAATTTCCCAGTTCCTGCACAAATGAGCTATCTTTTTTAAAGATGTATATGTGTGTATGTAGTGTTCAGTTCTACCTGCATCAGTTCTGGCTTTCTAAGCTTGAAAGCACAGGCTTCACGTAGGTCTAAGTTCCCTTGATTCAGTGATGTAAATGAAAGAAGATAAACCGGGTGTTGTGTTTTTTTATTTATCTGTGATGTTGTTGCATTGCAGATAAAGAATCCATTGTCTTTCATCTGAGCTAGAATTTCATCTATGTGAAAATAGTGAACTAGTTTTTTGCAACCAGCAAATAACCTTTAGAAGTGCTTTTCATAACCTCATCCTTACGTGGTATAATTCCATATGATCATTTTTGCGTCAGTAAAGGAGAATGTATGTGATGTCTGTGGTATGACAGAGAAAGCCTAAACCTAAGTGAATAGACAGGAGTCTCAAATGACAGAAATTACCCACATCTTAATGGCACTTACATTGCTTTGTGAAGGTGCGGACATGAACGAAGGACAGCTGATGGGAGACCTGGAATTAGATTCCAAGCAACTGGAGGCAGAGTCTTGGAGCCAAGTAGTGGACAGCAAGTTCCTACAGCAGCAAAGCAAAGATATTGTCAAACGGCAAGACGTCATTTACGGTGAGAGATACCCGCATCTTAATTTTTCACTCATTGTGCATAGTTTCCTGATATACTCGCATGCATGGATTTGGGAAGCTTTAGGTCAGTGAATAGGAACATTGGCTTGGTTTCCTCAAAAGCCAGAGTTTCATTCTTGAAGTTCTTAGAAATGTAATGTATTCTGTGAAAGTTTTCTTTCTGCCTTTCATGTATCCAGAAGCCATCAAAAAACCCAGAAATTGCCTCTCCTCATTTGTCTGCTGATGACATTTAAACTCTGTTACAGCAGAGCAGCTAGCTAGGAAGTCTTCTCCTGCCAGATGCAAGAGCCATCCTGTATGGAAAAAGCAGACTGTGTTGAGGCTGGCAGTGAGGTGTTAGGAAGGAGTAGATAACAGTGCTGAAGTTCAGACCTCAGCAACAATGTCCAAAGCTCTTTATTGTGGGACTCCTCTGCCCCCCTGTTTCTCCCACACATGAAACTATAGATTGATGTTTCAATACCTGACATGAAATTTTCTGAAACCACTTAGAGAATCCCAGTTATGGAAGAGCTTTCTAGTGGCAGCTTTTCCTTGTACACCCATGTACTCTACAGTGACCTTGGTTTTGACCTTGTCCTTATCCTGTACAGAGCTAATGCAGACGGAAATGCATCATGTCCGCACCCTGAAGATCATGAACGATGTATACAGCGCAGGGATGTTAAAGGAACTGCAGTATGATCAACAAGTTGTAGACAAGATCTTTCCCTGCCTGGAAAACTTGCTGCACATCCACAGTCACTTCTTCCAGCGGATTCTGGAAAGGAAGAAGGAGTCGTTGGCAGACAAAAGCGAAAAGAACTTTGTTATCAAGAGGATAGGTGACATCCTAGTGAATCAAGTAAGAGCTGGAAAATTTTTGCTCTTCTGAGAGCACAGCTGGAAACCAGGTGCTCTTCCTCCCCTCCTGTTTATGCCTGTCAGATAATCACAGCTGATGGCACCTTTACTCTTCACACATGTAAAAATCCTCACCTCTGCTTTTTGAAGCACTTTTTGCTCTTTCAGAAGAATGTCTAATGGTGAAAATTAATTTAGTTTCTTTTGTGGAAAGAGAAGCATTCCCTGACAGGCACAGAATGGTTTGACCATAGCCTGGAGGGTAAGCAGTAGCCCACAGCAAAATATGCCCAGTGTGTTTCTTGGCTGAGTAACTGACCTGCTATTTAACTTCGGGTGGGTCATTTTACTTTTCTTTATCTGCGCTTTCTCCCTTCTTCTTTTTGTCTGTCTTAACTTTTTTGTTGTTGGCTTTTAAGCCTTGTGAGGTAGAATCCCAAATTCTGCGTTGTGTGAACACAGTGAAGTCTCGAACTCGGCTCTTTACTTTCTAGAGATCTAATTGCCTGGTTTAGGATGCTTTGGACTAATTTGGTTTCATGAGGTTCTTTGGAGAGACTGGCAGGCACTGCTGGGATATCACAGCAGGAGCTCAGTGCAAATTGGACCTCTGTGTCTCGTGTCTCTTGCAGTTCTCTGGTGAGAGTGCCGAGCGAATGAAGAAAACATATGGCAAATTCTGCGGGCATCACAATGAGGCAGTAAATAACTTCAAAGATCTGTACTCAAAGGACAAGCGGTTTCAGGCATTTGTCAAGGTAGGACCTGGTAGAACAAACATAGTCGATGGAAAAAGTATGTCCTTTCTGCACTCCAGTGAGCGTTTTGCTACAGAACTGAAATTTTCGTCTTTGTTCCTTAGAAAAAAATGAGCAGCTCCCTGGTGAGGCGTCTTGGGATTTCTGAATGTATCTTGTTGGTAACACAGAGAATCACGAAGTACCCAGTCCTTTTACAAAGGATACTGCAGTACACCAAAGGTAGGGACCAGTTCCTCTATTCTAAGTGAGTGTTTGTTCCTCCAGTGCAAATTTCTTGGATCCTTTTCAGCTGAAGCAGATTTTCTTAGAATAGGCTGACTAATCCAGTTACTATTGTCTCACCACTGTAACAAGATAACTCATTTTCATACCTCCATTTAGGAGTTGTTATTCAGGTGCCTTGATTTAGTTGTTATAAGTCTGTCTGTAGCTAATTATGGAGTGACATGCTTAGACTCCAAAGTCTCCCAGCTTGGTGTTTTTTGGTAATGGCTAAAATATGTGGTTAATTTGTACATTTCATCTATACTGTCTCATATACAAAGTATATTGGAATAGTTCCCAACCCCAACCATATATCTGAAAGGTTTTGTGAAACTCTGCTTAAGGGGCAAAAACACAGCCTGTCTCATGAAAGTATTAAAAAGGTATAATGTGGGAATTTGGAAGGGAGAAGAGGAAGGAAGGAAGTAAAATTGGGAAGTTAGAGTCCACAAGGATGAAGTGAAATCGAGGTGTTTCTCTTTCTGTTCAAAGAAAATGAAGTGGAGCACGAAGACTTGACTCAGTCATTAAACCTCGTTAAAGATGTGATTGCTGCAGTCAATAGCAAAGTCAGCAATTATGAAAAGAAAATGCGTCTTGGTGAGATTTACAACCGGACGGATAGCAAGTCCATCATGAGGATGAAGAGTGGCCAGATGTTTGCAAGAGAGGACTTGAGGCATCGGAAGCTCATCCGAGACGGGCCTGTTTCACTAAAAAATGCAGCTGGCCGGTTAAAAGGTAAGTCTATCCTGCCTTCTGCCGGGGAAGGATACAGCTCACCCTCTCTGGATGTAGGCTTAGTCCTCAGATTGATGTCTTCAGCCTTTATTGGTTCTTCTGCTTTGAGAGATTTTGCCAGCAGTTTTCTCTGTGCTGTACACTCGCTTCCCATTGCAGCATTTCTGATTCCTCGTGTTGTTTCTGGGGAGATAGATAGCTGCTTTTCCTCCTGGTGACTGCATGCCTGCTGGAGGCTTGGGTTGCAGTGACACCTCGGTGCATCAGCCAAGGAGCGGAGTCGCTGAGGGATCCTTTGGGCCAGGAGAATGCGATGGGGCTGCAGGTGCCCAGAGCAGTGAGTCAGATCTCCACGCCGCGATGCGCATGTGCAGCAGTTCCAGGAAGCGTGCTCGCTGCACCCGAAACCCAACCTCAGCTTCCCGCTGGCTCTGCCCACCAGCAGCGCTGCCTTTCCTTTGCTCTGGGTCTGCAGTAGGGCTGCCCAGGCTCACCGTTCCATGCCGGTTTCGCTGGGACTCCAAGCAGGTGTCCCAGGCATTTGTTGCTCTTGAACCTCTTGAGCTGCTGACGCAAACCGTTCAGGAGAAGCTTTGGTGTCCCTGCAGCTGCTTCTTGTTTGGTCAATGTTTCTTGAACTGCTTTTTGTTTGTTATTAGGTGGAAATAGTTTTTCTAAGGTGCTGTGCTCTGCTGAGCACTGAAGTTCTCTACTGAATTAAACACTAAATCTCCCAAGGCAGCCTTCAGCTGGGACCACGGTAGCAGTAAGAGCAGACAGGTCTGTGTCTCAGGCTTGGCAGGAAGGCTGGGCTTTCTTTCTCTCACTCCAGCACCAGCTGACTAAACCGTGGTACTTGGGCATGAATGGGGACTGGTAGCCTGGTGCCGTGCTGTGCAGGGAGGCAGTGATAACACGAAATTCCGTATCAGGTATGATTTATGTTGAGGTTTTGGAAACAGGAAGTTTGCAGATGGTTTCTAGGCACCAGAGATTACTATTGACTTTAGATGGTGGATGAAGCAAGTTATGCTGCTGTTGTGAAATCTTGTGATAAGTACAGGCTGCATTTGCATTTCTAAGGCATAGAAATGCATAAATATACCTCTGTCTGTAGTGCAAGCTCCCAGTGAAAGCAGGTCCTGCAGACAAGCTGCAGAGCCCAGGGAGAGAGTAGCTAGTTCATACATTCAGGCTATTTTGCGGGATTTGAAGTGGAGCACAGAGGCGTATAGGAAGAACTTCTCTTAGAGGGTTTTAGCATTTCCCCTCTTGCAAAGTGCAGGGACGACAGAGAACAACAGAGTCAAATGCCAACTTTTGCAAACCTCCGAGAGCTTTGGGTTCATTTTGCAGCTTTGATTAAAGTTTGGTGGTTCTTCTATCTGGAACAGATCCTGTCTTCCCAAAACAGAATGGAAGGAATTACCCACAGGATGATTTAACTTTTTGGTTTGCTTCCTCTCTGTCACAAGATTTCCCAAGTACATTACACAAAAACTCTTTGTACTGAGGGCTCTGGGTGGGGCATTATACTCCGTAGTTGCTGTGCAACTTTATGATATGTCATTAGGAGACTTGGAAGGCTGTAAGTGTACACTGGGAAAAGGCTGTATTCTGATTTAAAATCATCTGTTGGCTTGGTGTTGTGCTTCCTTCTCCCATGAAAGAAAGCCAGGTCCTGCATCTCATGCAGGCTCTGTCGGCTCCCCTTGGAGTCAGCAAGAGTTGTGTTTGTCTGTGAGCAGAATTAGTGGTGGCTCTTGAAGTCCCAGTATTTCCTGGGAAAGAAACTGCAGCTGACAAATGTTGTTATTGCACGATAATTTACACTCCGCAAACCACTCATCAGGAGAACCATAAAACCCAAAACTTCCTGTGCAGATATTTTGCTCAAGGGCTAAAATATTGATTGTTTGAGAAAACAGTGCTTCTATTCAGTAAGCGTCTCTAGCTTTCGCTGTTATGCCCATATCCTAACTGTTAGAAAGCATGTGGCTGGAGAGGAGCACCCCTGCTCTGACAAAAAGAGAAAATCCTGCAGGTTTGCCAAGTGTGGTTGTGTTCTGCTTGACGCAAAGTCAGTTCAGAGCTAACCTGACCCGGCATCGCTAAGACCTGCCCCTGCTCCTTCCTGCTGCGTGGGAGGTTGACCCTGCTTCCAGGATTTGCAAAACCAGCCCTACCGCTGCCCAGCACTGGTGTTATTAAAAGAAATGTGTTTCGGGGTGGGTTGCGTGGTTATACTGCACTGGTATGCTTTTTGTTTTGCAGAAGTCCAAGCTGTTCTCCTCTCTGACATGCTTGTATTCCTTCAGGAGAAGGACCAGAAGTATGTCTTTGCCTCACTGGTAAGGCTTCAACCTTTTCTCCTCCTTCCTTTTCTATGTGAGAGACCCTTGATGTGTGCTGTGCAGCGCAGCCAGCCATTGCCAGCTAAACAACTTAATTTTATCACTTATAACATTTTCATTTGTTGAGCAGACTCCATTCTTTTTGATAGGAAAACATGTCTTCATGCCCCGCCTCACCTTTCTGCAGCGCCTTGGCACAGCTGATAATTGGCCTTGAAACCCTGCCTGTCACTTGATACACTTAGTCCTTTTCAGTTTGTGCAAATTGAAGCAGTGATTGGGGCAGGAGGGAGCAATGGGATAACGCAAACATTGCGTTGATGAATCTTAGCAGAAGGAAATGTCCTAAGACGCTGTGAGCTACTATGGCAGGCAGGGGGGTGAAATGCCACTGCAGTAAATTCAACAGAACAGCTTGAAAATAAATGTCAGAGGTATATATTTGTAATGCACAGGACCAAAAACATTAGCTTTTGAAGGCAGGCCTTGTAAAAGGGCTAGGCACACTGACCTGCTGAAGAAAACCTAGTACCTAATTGAGTCTGCTGGGGCTGTACCTTGCAGGAATGGTCTAGACTGGCTAAACCTTGTGACCTTTCTGCTCTTTGAACATCTTGAAAGCTGATAATTTGTTATTCCAGTTCCACCAACGATCTGCACAGACTCTGTGCCCTACACAGGGGGAACTGATACGCACACAAGACCTGCTGGTGAACCGCTACCACATCACCCCAGTTGTAGCATCCTGTAAAATGCAGAAAGGGGCTGACTCATATGCAGATGACACAACAGCAAAGGGACATTTTAACCAAGCAGGCTGATTACACAGAGACCATAGCACACAGTGAACGTCATCGTACACACACGTCTTCTCCATCACAGGAGTCAGCTATGAGCTTCTGAGAACAGCAGGGTGTTTATGGGATTTGAAAACAAGATGTTACTCCATCCTCAGGAGAGATTGTGAATATAATGTGTGTGAAGCAGGCGCTAGCAAGCTGCACTAAGTTTAGGGAGCTGTGGTATTAATGACAGAGAGAGTGTGGGCAGGAGGAGATGAGATCAAAGGTCTGCTGGAGTTAGAGCAAAATATGATAGAGTTTGCAAAACCACAAAGTCAATTTTAAATTAATTCTTTGTTGAAATGGAACAAGGTGAAATTGCTTTTCCTACAGAACTGATGGAGGAAAGCAAGCTCTTCCCTGTTCTTTGACCCCATTAAAAATGATTCATTTTTTTAATTAGTCAGTAGGTTCAAAAAATGTTTACAACCTGAGAGAGGTAGCGGTATGGTTATTGGGACCTTTTCAGTGCTAGTTTGCATCTGGGAACTAGTGCTGCTCACCCCCCTCACTCATTTCTTTCCATCGGAAGGACCAGAAATCCACTGTGATCTCTCTGAAGAAGTTGATTGTACGAGAAGTGGCTCATGAAGAGAAGGGTTTGTTCCTGATCAGTATGGGTGTAAAAGATCCCGAAATGGTGGAAGTCCACGCCAGCTCCAAAGAAGAGCGTAACGGCTGGATGCAGATCATTCAAGACACAATGAACACCATGTAAGCTACCAAGCTGTTCTTGCAAGGCAGGTGATGCACATGGTCATGTTCTGGTAGTAATTGAGACATGTCTCTTGTCCAGGGATAAAGACGAAGACGAAGGAGTCCCTTGTGAGTCTGAGTTTGAAAAGAAAGTGTCGGACGCGAAAGTGAGGGGACTAAAAGGTAAAATCCTGCTTGGGACAGAGCTGGGGAGCAGTTTTTGAAAAATTTACGGGAATTGTGCTGGGTTTTGTGGTTGAACTATGACTTCTTTCAAAGGAGTGAGAATCCTGCATCCAGCAAATAATTGCAATCCTTGTTTGCACCTCACCTTGCTTGCATTATTTTTTTTCTGAGCCTGCTGGGTGCTGTTGCTGTGCAGGATTGCGCAGGGCAAGGTTGTATCATCAGGTTCCACTAGATGGGGCCAATATCTCAGGAATCGCTCAGTTTCCTTGGCGTAGCTTTTATTTTCTGTCTTCATCTCTCTTTTCTGTTCACCCCCACAGAACAACTTCAGCAGAAGGATAAGCAGATTCTCCTCTTGCTGGAGGAGAAGGCTAAGATCTTCCGGGACATGGCAGACAGTTCTGTGCAGGAGGACATGCCAGGCTCCAGGCTGCTCTTCAGAGCCAACACAGAAGAGGCACCAAAAGGAGAGGCCATTATGAAAACTGCAATAAATGAAGGTGAGCAAGTCAGGGTGACACGTTAATTACACTAACCAGCAGGCCCACCTTCAGTGAAGCCATCAGAACTCAAGCACCAGTTTTGCAGGGGAAGTCCTCTCTTTGTCAGAATAGCAACACAGATAAGGAGATACTGCTACTTACGGTATTGTCTTAGGGACAGGTAGTAGGATCAGGAAAGGAAGCCGATATTGATGGCTGTTGAAAGAGGGCAGAAAAGAAGTCAGCACAGAGAAAAGCCATTCATTGAATCTCTACTGGGGTCAGGAGCAGCACAGGATTTATCCTTTGCTGAAATTTGGACCATCTAGGCTTTTGCCGCGCTTCAGTCTCAGCAAAGTGTGAGAGTGGGACTTGGGTTCCAGCAGGCGCTTGTGGTGCCTGCAGCGGACAAGCAAGTCTGTTGACAAAGGCAAGGGTAGATGGAAACTCAGGCAACTTGCCGGTGTGATTTTTGGAGAGGCTAAAAATGATTAAATGCTGTTGTCAGAGCACACCAGGGTTGCCTGGAGGAAGACAGGGAAGTTTAAGCCTGTGCAGAGCTCCAAGAATTGGAGTTAATGGTCAGAAGACAGACTGAGTTTTTGCAGGGGGAATGCATACTGTTCATACCATTGTCATAGAAACGTGGTTTCTTAGTACAGCAAAGAATGTGAATTTCTGACCTGAGCTCAGGCAGGGTTGAAGATAGCTCAGAAGCCTGAGGTGGTCTTTAACAGAGATATTGTTGCTTTTTATCAGTTGAACTGCTGCAAGACCTGGTGAACAGGAGCCTGGGCACTGTCCTCGGACAGCAGGTCAGCAGCACTGCCATGGAACAAGAAGGAGGAGTTGGTCCCATCTCTCTCCCTAGAAGGGCAGAAACTTTTGGAGGATTTGACAGTCATCAGATGAACGCCTCCAAGTGTGAGTAGTTACATGTGTGGACATTTGTTAATAATACATGTCATCATGTCCTCTTGCTTCAGAAGGACTCTAGCAGCTGGTGATTTTGGTTTCCCAGCTCCTCTCTAATAATAGTTGACAGATTAAATAACAGATTAGAAAAAAAGCCTGTGTACAGGTAGAATGATGGTAGCTGAGAATCCATGGCTGCATGAGGATTAAACATCTGAACTCCTCACTCCTCTCTCTGTCTCTTCTCTCTCTAAATCATCGTTACATCTTTACTTACATGCCACATGAAAGCATTTGGCTTCTTGATAGATTAGTTTCTTCATGTTATTATTGTAATATCTGCAGCTCTGTTCTTCATTCTTCAGTTATCTTCCAGCAGGAGCCTGGTGCTGTTGCATTTGTGAATGGATGAGGATGCTGCTGAATCAAGCACCTTCTCCCCTGGCTCTGCTCTCTTTGCATTTGTGTTCCACATACAACTGCATGTGTTATTCCTGCAATTAAGTCTCTCCCAAAAAAATGTGTGAATATTTAATTCAGCTGCATAGTTGGCTGCTTCCCAATGCTCTCTTTCTTTGCCCTAGTCATCAGAAACTTCCCTGTCCTCAAATTCCTTTCTCTGTGGTCTCACTCATACTCCCATTACAGGCAGTTTTGCTGCGCTAGTGTCTGTCTCAGCATTGAGATCGTTGGACCTCGTCTGACCTTCTGCATTAAAGAAGCAGTGTTAGCTCCAGACAGTGAGACATGAGAAGTATGTAGAGGTTTTCCCAGCTCTGTTGGAAAGCTGCAAAGCCTTCCACAGGCCTTGTCATCATAATGACAAATATATTCACGCTGGAGGGGTTTGTTCAGGGTTGTGCCTGTCTCTGTTGCAGTGATGAATGGGAGAACCTCAGGCTGTTCATTGCCCAACTCTCGGTTTTCCGTAGAAATGTCCTCCTTGGAATTAGATTGTAATTCAATAGTTGTAGGGTCTTGGGAGAATTTGGGAAAAGAATGCAGGGCCTGTTTGTTCAGCTGGAGGCCAGGAGGCATGAAACCTGGCTTGAATCTCTAGTTCTTCTGTTCACAACCTGTGCAACCTTGGGCAAGGCTTATAACCTGACTCCCCTTCATTCTCCCCTCCAGCAAAGCAGAAGGGAGGTGTTTCCTCCTGCAAAGAGGTGGAAGGTCCCAGGACGTGGCGCAGAAGAGAAGGTCTGTTAGGAGGACTTGAGGGTCGGCCTTTAATAGCAAAGCCTGCCTGGGGGGTGGTGGGAGGAGAGGGCCCTTGCACTAGGTACTGTGTCCTTCACGTTGCTGCAGATACAGGTGTATGTGAAGTTGCTTAAAAGAGTGGCAGTAGGGAGGTTACCACTGCAGGTGTGGGTTTTCCCCGTGGGCTGCATCTCAGCTGGCAACAGGAGTGCAAGAGGCCTGGCAAGAGCGAGAGGACCAAAGAGCCGTGCGACTCCTCCGCTGCCCGCGAGCAGAAGGGCGGCGCAGGTGGAGGGTTCAGTCCTGCCCAGGAGCACTGATAGGAGCCATCCAGGGGAAAATTAGAAAGAGAATTCCAGTGTCCCTTTGAAGAAAAAAGAGAATTCCAGTGTCCCTTTGAAGAAACAGGTTTCTGATAACTAAGGTTGAGGATAAATTGTTAGCATAAAATGACACAGGGTATTGCACAGCAGTATCTGACCTAGCTGTAAATTGCGCTTGCACAAGAGAGGCATTGAAACTATACCTGCAATAATATACCCTGATATACTGTTATTGTTCTCCATCTGCTCTTATTCTGCCTCATGTCTTCTCAGCAAGTATTCTTTGGTAGTAGACAGCAGTGTGGGGGCTAGACAGAACACCAATTAATAGGAGTGTGCCGAATTTATCAGCACGTTGTCTGAAACCAAAGGCAATCCTAGTCTGAATTCAGATCCACTTTTTCTGGTGGTGCTGACATGTTCTGTATACATAGGGAGCAAATGCATTTAGTTAAAGTGTCAAGAGCTCTCTGTCCCCTTTTGTGAAACATCTGAGTTTCCTGTATTAAATTTCTCAGACATTAGCAAGTTCATCTATGGCTTAAAATGTTGAATAACCAGTGTCAATGCTGGCTTCTTCCTTTAGGTGGAGCAAAAGATGAAGGAGATGATGCTCAGGACCTTCGGAGAACAGAGTCAGACAGCATTTTAAAGAAGGTATTGCTTATTTTATCTGCCTGCTGCCACTGAGTTCAGATTTCGTGAGAGTGACAGTTCAAGTCTTGAAAAATGCCTAAGTTGCTTGACAATTACATGTATCCTAATAAGTTTAAAATAAAATATAATTGGAAGTATGCAGCCAAAAACACTTTGCTGTAGCTAAAATCCTGACTTGAAAACCATTGCAAATCAGTAGTATTCCTTTGTGGCACAGGTTATCTGCCATCTGTCTGCAGATCAGCTAAAGCATGTGTTTAATTATGCATCGTTACTGAAATTATAAGGTCAGCTATAACCTTGCACCTATTCTTGCTGTGGATTGATCCATCATATAGCTACAAAATGATACCTAATTAACATTTTATTGTATATGATTTTAACTTGCCTAAAAAACATGCATGAATTCTCCCAGAATGGAAGATGGAGGGGGGGTTTAATGTGTCTGCCATTAGTTCAGCTTCAGAACACATTCACTGTGATTTCTCATTTGTCCTCATATTAAATCTGTGATCTTTTCTTAGGGTGGAAATGCTAATCTGATGTTCATGTTGAAAAGGAATAACGAGGTAAGAATTGATTCTGTTGCTCAGCTGTTTCCTTCATTTAAGTAGCAAGTGAATTTGTCTCAATAGGTGATAATGTAGAAGAAAATACATTTCATTTGCTGAAGCGCATGTAGACTTTTAAGTACATTAAGCTGAACCCACTGTGTCATTTATTTGTTTAACCTTGGATGTTCAGTCAGGGAATTCACTGATTGTCATCTGCTTGCCAGCAGGATGATATGTGCTGATTATAGGCAGCAAGGGTTAATTACCACTAGGATGCGCAGGGCTGTATTTATTGTGCATCTGCAGACAGAGGGAGTTTAATTTTATGTTGCAGGTGCAGTGAATTGGGGCAATTAGATTTCTATTCTCCCTTTGATACACATTCATAACTCCCAATTAGCATTAACAGCAGAAGGAGAAGCAGTTCTCTTAGTACTGGCTATCACACCACTGTTACAAATACTGTGGTGGGTTTTCTTCTTCTTAAAAATAATTGTAGGATATGAGAGATTCAGAGAAATTTTTAGCTAGGCTAAAAATATACTTTGGGATAGGGCGTCGCTCCAAAGTAGCTTGTTCTGTATTCATGTACGATGTGTTCGCATTTACCTGTATTTTCAGAGAGCCGCCATGAACACACCTGCTGTACTTGGGTGCCTGCTGTATTGCAGTTTTTCTGTCTAATGACAGTGGGACTTGTATGGGTCAGCCAGGGGTGTGGAAGAGTACAAATAGTCCACATTGATTTTAATATTTCTTCTTTTTTTCGCCCCTTGAAGTTCTTTCCCTGAAATTTTTAAGTGAACTGCTGGGTTTCATCCCAATTACTCTGCTTGTTCTTGAGCAAGCTGATGCTATGGGAAATGGTTTGCAGAGGCAGCCCAGGAGTTCCCATGAGGTCTGTGCTGTTCGGTGCTCCTGCAGACGTTTCCTCCCCTGCCGCACTTATGGCTAGGAAAGTGAGGAAGATGATGCCAGGCACCTCTGAGAGATGTCCAAGGGATGTATTTGTGTACTGGGGGATGATGCAGTCATTGCAAGTGAAGAGTGAAAAAAACGAAGGTGTAGAGGGATGGCCGTACGGCTTCTCAGCCCCACCGGTGGGTCACAGTGGAAAAGGAGGGTGCTTTACGCATACCCTGGCACCCAGGGAGATCTAATAGCAATGCTTTTGTTTTCTCGCAGCAGGTCCTCCAAAGCATTACCAGCCTCCATAAGCTGCTCAGTGCTTTGCAGGTAGGCTTGGCCATTCATCCCGCTTTTGCATGCCGCTTGCCCGAACTGCCCATCCCGCCAGCCAGTAACAGCCACTCGCGCTTCATCCCTCACCTCCCCTTCCCCTTTGTCTTGTCACATCCCCGCGTGGCTGAATGCCCCACGGCCGGCTTGCAGGCAGCCTACTGGCAGGTTGTAGGAATGAGCTGCTGCCGAAGTGAACCGGTGCTCACCTGAATTTGGGAAGCTGCTGGGGGAGATGCTCTGCCAGCGTCCTCTGGTAGCCCAGCTGTAAGGCAGCAGTACTGAGCTGTGCATTTGGTGGGAGAAGAAGGGGTTCGATACAGCACCCTGAGATTTTCAGGGGTGGAGCCTTTCTCCAGGGAGAGGGTGCTGCAGTGATTTGTGTCCCCTCTCTCCTAGGGTGTCGTGCTGCAGCAGGACACCTACATCGAGGACCAGAAGCTGGCTCTGAGCGAGAGGGCTCTGACCCGAAACTTCTTCCGGCCAACCTCATTGCTGGAGCAGGAGAAGCAGCGCAACCTGGAGAAGCAGCGCCAGGAGTTGGCCAATCTGAAGAAGCAGCAGACACAGCACCAGGAGGAGAGGCGGAGGAGAGAGAAAGAATGGGAAGTCCGGGAGAAGGAGCTGGCAGAGCAGGAGGCCCACCTGGCCCAGCGAGAGGAGCAGGTCCAGAGAGGGTGGCAGGATCTTGAGCGGGAGCGAGAGGAGCTGCAGATGAAGAAGGCCTCCTACCAGCATGATCTGGAGAGGCTTCGCACAGCGCAGAAGCAGCTGGAGAAGGAGAAGGCACAGTTCAAGCAAGATGTGGAGCGGTTAGCTCAAATGCGGCAGGAGCCTGACCACAACCAGGTAAAGGATGCCAACGGCCGGGCTGCTGGGGAAGCTGTGCCCTGCAGGGAGTGCCCGGCCGGCTCCTGGGCCTATCCTGCACCTCCAGAGCTGCTGAGGCATTGCCAGTGTTGATGCAACATGGTGTGTTCAGGTTGCCTGGCCAGTCTTGAGCAGTAGGTGGTTACCACAGCCTGAGCTCTGTCTGCTTTTCTGTGCTGCGTGTTGGCAGCCAGCAGGGCGGAGGTGGCTGGCTTGCAGAGAAGATGCCCTAGGCAGTCCTGGGAGATCGATACTGCCTTTGACGTTGGCCTTCACCCCATGGGGGGCTGAGGTCTGAGGAGTGGTCAGGCAGATTAGACATCCTTCTCGGAAACAGCCTGAGCGTTGTGGGTTTCCTGCACCCTCCAGCTGTCACGAAAGCCGTTTGCAAGGCTGATAAGTGCAGGGGAAGGCTGTTTCTATGCTTACATCCATCTCCAAAAGCATTCTCAGTGTCTAGCAGAGAGATGGGCATTGTCCCTGTCCTAAAGAGACTGGGCACCTGCAGTCTGGTGCTCAGTGAGCAAGGGTCCTCGGCTCTCCTGCAAGAGGCTTCTGGTGTCTGGCTGTCCACAACCAGAAAGAAAAGCCCACATGCAGATCTTTCAGCAGGCTGGGGTTTATTTTTTTGTAACTGTGCAGCAGCCTGGCTGAGGAGAGCAAGCATCCGTTGGCAAAACATGGGCTGAATTTAAACCTTAAGCCTGTTGTTGATTGTTTGTTTGTTTGTAACTCACTAATTCTGAATGTAATTTGCTTAGAGCTGTAGCAGAATTAGTTTATAAATGTTGGATTGTGGAATGGAAATGATTTTGGGTGCCTGAATGGACTAATTGCGGAGCTCAGCAGTGAGCTCTGAAAAGCAAATCATCAGAGGAGGGCTTGCTCCCTCCCACCCGAGTTCCTGATCAGGCCAGAAGTTTTCCGAGCACACAGTGAAGCTGTTCCAGCATCGAGCACACGTAGACATACAAGGGGCATGGACGCTATGGGAGAGGCTGAGAGGTAAAATAACTGCAAAGCCTGGGGGATCAGGAGAAGGAAGCACCTTTTCAGGGCAGGTATCTTACTGACATTTCAGAGCTATTAATAGGGGGTTTGGTGAGGCTTTGTTGAGCTGTTGTTTTGATCTTCCCTTTGAATGTGCGGGCTCAATTACATCCTAAGACAGCCGTTAGGGGGAAAAAAAAAAATCAGGAAGAATGTTTTTGCTTTCATCTTTTGCTTGGGAAGGCTTCCTTTGACACATGCCGCTCCGGTGCTGTGTGCTGGCGTTCCCCTGCCGGAGAGGCACGCTTCTTCTTGGCATTCTGCCACCGTCTGTGTGCGCAAATGATGTAGGGTGAGTCTTGGTATTGAGATCTTAAAGAATATTTGCCCTTGGCTTGTTGATACATAGCACAGTACATGTAGGAGCGAAAGATACTGGAGCGTTACTCTCTATAAGCCTCGTTTCTTCATCTTAAACAGAGAGGGATTCTTCTCTCATTGCTATGCCTGGATGGTGACCACTTTTTAGCTGGTGAATGGGCTGGATGTTGACAAGAGCAAGCTCAGTCTCTGTCAGTGGCCTGGGAAACGTCTTTCCTATCCAGGTTCTCTGCTAGCTTCTTTCATGCCCCAATGAAACACTTTTCTTTTCCTTTATAGGTTTCAAATCTACACGAGAAACTTGCAAGGGTCGCCTCCCAGTCCAGCATCGATGACTCCGCCAAGCAGAAGAGCCCTTCCCTTCCTACACAAGGGCACTTTGATGCAGAACTGTCTGTCTCCCCCAAAAGGAACAGTCTTTCAAGGACACACAAAGAGAAAAGCACTTTCCATTTGCTTAGCACAACAAACCAGACTAACAAGGCGGCTGAGGAACAGCCCCAGATGCCTACCCGCCTCTTCAGTTTAGCCAAACCAAAGGACAAGAAAGAAAAGAAGAAAAAGGGCAGGGGACATCGCTCCCAACAGTCTGGTGAGTGTCAGGGGAGGTCATAGGTGTTTTTTCTGTGTCGGTGAGCTGGCTTTTCTCTCCAGCCAGCAAACTTGTGGAAGCCACGAAATCGAGCCTTGAATTTGGATGGTAACACTTGAGGGACGAAGAAGTTTAGCTGTGATGAGTGGAGTTCCCAGCTTGAAGTGATCTTCTCTGTGGGCTTTTCTGCCTGTTCTGCAGCCCCTGGGGTTGTCAGAGGGACACACTCTGCTCGCTGCTCCTTCCCTTCCCTGTCCCATCCTGGGCAGCTTCTGCGGGCTGGATTCTCCCTGTATTTTTCAGCTTGCTCTGCTTTGAGAAAGAAAATGTCCTGCCTCAGTGTATGTGCTTTCAGGAGCTGGTGCTGGGATGCTCCTGGCTGTCGCAGCCCCTGCGACACTGCTGTCTGCTTTAACTCTGTTGTAGTTTGGAAGTGATGCCCGCAACCCTTCTGGTGGCCCCTCCCTTCCCCTTGAGCTGGTCTATTCTGTCTCTTGATCTGAAAAAAACCCATGCAGTTTTTTTCTCCACTAGTTTTGCGTCCCCGTAGGACTCAGTTCTGCACCTCAAACCTCTGACCCACGTGACATTTGATCTCACGCCCTCAGATGACCGGCTTATCCATATTTAGTCACTGATGTTTTCCAGCTTGTGCACAGGAAGGCTCAGCAATTACGAGATGTAATTTCATGGTAGCTCATCAGGGAACTGGACATCTTTTAAGGTGCCCAGTGGATTGGGCAGACAGCGGGATTTCCATGTGCATGGAGTCCTGCTCTGCCTGCTGTATTCCTGTATTCCCATAGTGATTCCTACCTGTTTTTTTGTCCTGCAGATTCTCACTCATCAGAAGCACCTCCAGAGGGTGAGGAGATCTTCTGCTAAGCACGGACAGTTCCATCGGTCACTCAGCATTGGTACAGTGGACATCTACCTGCCCGCTCCACAGCACACTGCTGGTGCCTGCATCTGACAAGCATCTGGAGGTTTTAACTAAAACATGTTATGAAGTCTGTTAAGTGGTGGGAAAAGGCCTCTCCCCTGTGGTTTTGCGTGAATTCTCACCACAGAGGCTGACTGCATGGCAAATAGCACTGTCTCTCTGTGCAAACCTTGGGTTAAGCGGATTGGGATAGAGGTTTTCTGTCTCTTCTTACTGCTAAAGGATGAGAGAACATAGCCTTAAGGGGTCTGTGCCTTCAAATTCTCCTTTTCTGGGGAACGTAACCAAAACCAAGCATTTAGCAAAAGATGAGGACTCTAAAATGGTGCGTACACACTGGCATATATAGATATACTGTATATATACATGTATGTATCTATGTATCCTCTGGGATATGCTTACAGTCTGTACAGCCAAGCTTAGCTCAGCCCATGGGGATAGATGATACCTGATGACTTTCAGGGAGCGTGTAGATATTAAATATCTTGCCCTTACTGCTCCAATTGTAATGCCATTGACTTGCACGCCCCTTTTGTACTCATGGTATATGGACTGTTTGGTTTCAGAAAGGTACCTTACACCAGGAAGCAGTAACAGCATTCAAAACAAAAATTCAGAGGGAAAAAAAAAGAATTTAAAGTAATTCCATGGAGCAGAGGATTTAAATGTCAAACTGTTTCCAGAATCAAGCAGAACATCTTTGGGTATATATAAAACGATGCAGAAAAAAATTCGGTAGGCTTGTAAGGCAACCCCAGGGAGCCAGAACAAACAGTGCTCAAGTGGGAACAGCTCTAAGCAACATTTTTTTTACGCAATCTTTTGAGCTCCAGCTCACTCCTTCCCATCCCCTCAGTAAAGATTTTCCTTTTTTTTTTTTTGCCAGAATATAGTTCTCCAGTTGCATTTGACATCCCTTCATTACAAGCCTCATGACTTACTGGAGAGATGGCTGAAAATCTGCTTTTAGGGACCTTTGTTCTGTTACTTGTATTTTTCTTCCCCTACTTTTTGCGTTAATGTTGAGCTTCTGTTTCTCTGGATTTTGTCAGCTTCCCTTGCTCATTTCTGAGGCAGAATGAGACAACAGCAATTTCAGAGCACTTCAGTGAGATGTCACAGGTCAGGGGACTGAGTGCTGTGAGCAAAGCAAACTCCAAAGAAGGCAGCTCCTAGTTCCTGTGCCTGTACAACGCTGTGCACTTATCAACCATTGCTGGGGAGATAATGCATTCTCATGGACAAAACCGCTGTAGGACAGGTCAGAAAGGTCCAGCGTGGCAGGTGCGTTTCCATCACCGTGGGCTCTAGGGTGAAAGTGTCTGTGTGTGCCCGTGTTGCTGTCAGCAGAAGGGGAAGGTCTGAGGGTGGCTGTCGCTGTGCTGACCGTGAGGTGTTTGTACAGCTGTTGAATACAGGGATGTGTTCAGCGGGGGAAAAGACGCGCAGCAAGCCAACTTTTTTCCAAAATTATTGTTCTTCCAAACTCTCTCAGGGGAATTGCCTGAGCGGATTTGTAAATGGTTACAAGACACTATCAGCTTCAAAATAGCTCAAGGGTTTGCTCAGAGTTTGAAGCTGTCAAGTGCATTTCCTTTCCTACCAGTTTTTCTTAAAAAAGAGTATTTCTCTTCTTGCACTATTGTTTGATTTCAGTTTGCTCTCTGGCTTCTCACAAGCTAGTAACCTGCAGCAGTTTTCAGAGTTCGGTGCTGATGAGTATCAGCGGCATTGATGGTGAGGTGGATGCTTAGACTGGTCTGTCTTGGTCAGTGCAGGAATCCTAAGCCGCCTGCTTGCTTTTGAAGCTCTCTAAACTATTAAGATCAAAAAAAAGGAAGAAAGGAAAAAGGTTTGAGATTTATTTTTATTTTGCTTTTTTTAATATTATTTGGTGCTTGTTCTTAATTGCAAGCAGGGCTTGCAAAAAATATTTATCTTTGTTTATTTGAAAGAGTTCTTTTTTTAAAAGAAGTTTACTTGGTTTTATTTTTTTATTTCTTTTTACTTTTTATTTTGCTTTTGTTTGGGGGTTTAAGGGGTGGTTTGCGTTTTTTCTTTCCTTTTTTTTCTTTTTTTCTTACCAAGATTTTGGTAAACCAAATGTTCTTCTCTCCCTGGTTCTTACAAAACCAGGGTTTGGGCAGTGCTGCTTAGCAGCCCGTGCCATGCCCAGAGTTACACAGTTTCAACTGAGAGCTTTCTTTAACGCAGAGCATCTTTGGGCCAAAAAAAGTCTGGAAAAAGAAGCAGTGACTCCAGACAAGACTCCTCCTATCAGCTAGTTTCCTTGTTTAAATATTTTGCTTAGGTTTTCTCATACCTCTTGGAAGCAAAGGAAAAAGCAAAACGTGGAGCATCTTGCAGTGATGTGAGGGTCTGGTCGCTTCTCTGGGGAGATACGGGCAGCTCTTCTGAACCTGAAAGGAGCTGAAGGAAGCGTGTGCTGGTGTTGTGGAGTTACCTTTTGCATAAGAAACCCACCAATTTTAGAAACTAAATTCTGCCCTGCTATTTATATATCTGCAAAAATTAATGTGCCGAGCTGAAATTTTCGGAAACCAAAGCAGTGCATGGCTCGTTTACTGTTGTGCAAAGAGAGATCAGGTCCCCAGTATTTCTGAAGGTTCCCCTTGGTCTGTAATAGCCTTTGCCAGTATGAGCTTTTCTTTTCATCCCTCTGTCTTTTTGCCAGTCCCAACACATCCTGAATTCATGACACAGGAATGTCCCGTGGCTCCAAGAAGGGCATCAAAAGGGAGACGCATGGCCCAGGGCAGCAGGGCTGAGTCTCTGCCTGGCTTGACCATCTCTCCTGACCTGTGCGAATCAAAAAGAGCATTCAGTGCCCTAAGTGAAAATAGTATTTTCCAAGTGATCTCCTAAGGTCCCCACGGTTCCTTGACAAAGAAGCCATGGGCGTGAGTCAGAAATATATTGACTAGAAATACTGCGTATCAAAGCTGTTTGTGTCTTAAATTCTGGTGGACAGACCTTTGTCCCTGGAGGATGTATGTTACTGCATGATTCACTTTTTTGGAATGAAGCATTTACTCCCACACTGCTTCCTCCTTCTTTCACCTTTAGGAAGGTGAGGGCTTGTTTTTATCTCTTCAGCCTTTTATTTTTCCCCCTCTCAGGTTTTCTTTGGAAAGGCTTGGCGTAGGTTCCCAGAGTCGGATTCCCGCTCTGATCCCTGCAGGTTGCCCTGGGTTGTCTGCTAGAGTACGGTCCCAGCCTTAACAGTTCCAAAGCCTTTCCTCTTCCTGGCCTTAAAATTGCATTTGCTCCAGTTCCACACCTGGCATCCATCCTGCAGTTGTTGAAAGCATGTTATTTCTTCAGCCTAGCCTGATGCTGTCTGTATCTGGTTCCCAGAGCCAGTCCCTTGATCCCATTTGGAACACCCAAACCACCTCATTTTGCATTGGGTTCCTGGGACACAGAGCAGGTTCAAAAATGTCTGTGCGAAGCCTGTATTGTTGGAGGGAGAAGAGGACCCTGCAAGGGCTCTCGGAGCTTTTTTTTTTTTTGCTAGTGTTTCATGGAGGGGAAAAATCACACTGTCTTTTCTTGGGCTTTTCTTGGCCTGGTCTTTATCACTGCCCAACAGAAGGGGTTTCAGTGACCGGGGAGGTGGGGCGCAGGCTCAGCTGAAGGACAGAAGTGGTCAGTATTAGCTGGCGGTACCAGAGTACCCCAATGGTAGAGAGTAGCTGTAGCAAATGGTGTGAGACTTGATGGAGTTGTGTGGGCTTGGCCTTAGCTTCTTTAAGTGAAGTGATCATCTCAACATGTAACTTGATGTGAGTTTGATGCCGTAAAGCACTTTAATAGGAACTGGTCTTGTCCCTTTTTATTGTGGTTATGTGGAGACAATCAGCTTTGCCATTGCTCCCCCCTCTGCGTCCCCAGCAAAATCTGAGCTGCAAGTAGGCATATTCCTGGTTTGGTTTGGCTTTACCCCGGGAGGGGAGGAAGGGCCAGCTTTTTGTATTATTTTTAGACCAAAGTGGTGTGAATCTGACTACAGTCCCACTGCAGACAGGGTGAGTGGCAGGACCAGAGGAACTGGCTTGTGATGGCTCAGGTATATCCCCCGGGAGAGCCCATGCCAGCATCACCATCACCTTCCTCACAGCAGGTACTGCTGCCGGCAGGGAAGCCGTCCTGCCAGCGGCTTGCCCTCCACCTCCTTTTCCTTGGGGAAACCCAGAGCAAAGGAGGTGTGGGGGGATACAACCACTAAGTGGAGTGAGGTCCTTTCCGTGCACTAAGTTATTTACTGTCCAGGCCATTGGGAGACCTCCCAGGTGCCATCCCTGGGGCAGGGCTCTCACCACCACTGAGGGTGGACTCTTCTTTTCACTCGTGAAGTTTGACCACTGCTGAGAAGCACAGTAGTGCCATTAGCTTGGGCGGATTTGAACTGCCTTTCAAAGGCAAGAGCATCCATAGAGTCTGGTCATCTTTGTACCTTCCTTGAGGCACTAGGGTATCTCAAAGCTGTTGCTGAAACACTCAAATCCAGTCCTTCCAAATGCCACAGAGTCAGAAGAGCTTCATCAGGTGCCAAATCCCAAGGAAGCTGCCTAGAATATCTGTGGCACGGGGCAAGGGAGGACTGGGCAGGGGGCACAGGAGAGTATCTGCTAAAATCCCACAAAACATTCCTTGTTAACTAGAACTCTGGAAATTATTCTGCCTGCTGGCCAGGTTTGGGAATTTAACATAATTTAAGGCACCCTTTTAAATAAAAAACCTCCCCTGCTGCTCATAACTCTTGCTTCATTTGTCAGAAGGGGCAGCAATCAAAGATTCTTGATCTGATAATACAGCTAAGTTTTAAGGATAGGCGAGCTGAACTGGCTTAATCTCGTACACCTCGTGCTCTTGAGCGATGGGAAGCGTAACGCTAGCTCCCTTCCTGCCTGCGTTTTCAGGGCTCGGTGCCCACCCTTTCCACACGCATTTCACTGACACTGATGCTTTGCCCAGATATATTCAGCTTCCATTGCTTGGGGGGAGGGGGGAACAGGATAACATTCACTGCTTTGCATACAGCTATGAGCTGCGTATGTATTTAAGCTGTCTATAGGTATCCATCCTTTCCATGCTCTAAAGTATTTTACTATTTTCTTTATCGATATTAAACACTGACTCAAAAAAAAAAAAAAAAAACCAAAACCCTATGTCCAGTTCAGTTCGCCTATGGTTAAAGTTTAGCCTGGTATTTATTTTGTACTAATATGGAATGCACTTGAGTAATGCCCAGAGCGTTGAGGAGGTGTATTATAATAACCTGATATACCTGTGCTTTTGGTTTGTTTCTTAAAAAAAAAAATAAATAAAAAAAATTATTTGCATTTTTATGTTGAAACATTAAAAAAAAAGTTTAAAAAAAAAAGTTGAAAATAAGAATTTTTAAAGAGGGTAAAAGCTAATTGTTGTATGTTAATTTGTAATTATGTAAAAAGTGAGCAGGTTACTGACTGTAAAATTCTTCAGTTTTTCTGTAACTTGCCAGAAACCATTAGATTTTGTA